CGCACTCTCGTTTCACTCCGCTTCTAGTGCGATCCGTTGCGGCTGGCTCTCGTTCTAATGCGGAAGACGGTTGATTATATTGGTTTTTGGCGGCGAAAACTTCCGCTGTTGTTTCGCTGGTTTCTCGAGCGTCTGACAGCTTGATGAGGCTGGGAGGCAAACCGGGTGTTGTGGTAAACAGTGCAATTTATATTTTGGAAGAGAAATTGATGCGTAGTTGTTGATCTGATTTTCGAAATTAATAGCTTAGAAAAAGAGAGGGGAATATTCGATAGATTAATTATTTTATTTATGATGGACAATGTAATCTTAACTTTGAAATTACTATATAGTTTCTTTTTTATATGAATTGCATAATTATGTGGTTGTTGTTTCTATTATTTCACAAAATTTACGAATAATATGTTTAAAATAATTTTATAATTTTATAATGAGATCATAAAGAGAGAAGAATAAATTTTCTGACCAATCTTTTCAATTATCCAGCTTGTTAAAAGTTGTCGGTTGACATATTCAGAGAAATCGAGTTAGATTATCAAATTATCGCGCTAACATAATTTGCTCCGCGAAGCGTCGCACGTGGACAAATCAAATATCACAAATGTCCCCCGATCACGTGGCCACTGTGATTCTACTAGGATTATTGCTTAGATCAACATCAATGCAATTCCAGGCATCAATATCGACTTAAGCTCAATCAAGGATTAGATGAGCGATCTCGCCGACTGATTGGTTAATTTCAGAATTAATCCGCCATTGAACTTTGACCTTTCTCCCAGCCTGCGATCGGCATGTCATATCTTGTCGTGTACTATTTGCTTAACACGCTTCGTTACTCAAATTGGATTATGCAGGGTGTCAATGAATAATTATTGCAAATTTTATATACCAGTAACTTTGCACCACTTTTATTTTTAATCTTTTAATTCCCAATACATGCGCATACACATAATTGGGTATATTAAGGCCATTTACGAAATACTGCAATGGCACAGCGAGGGTGCAAGTATATCCTCACCGGCGACGCGGTGTCGGTTCTTTCGAGGAAACTTTTTGTTTCCACCCTCGCAATCTTCGCGGTCGGCGATCGAACGCATCTTGGCAGGCCCGATTTTCCGGAAAACGACCGGATATCCAAGGCGTTCCAAGTGGAGTTCGCAATCGAAGTTCGAGTTAAGCCATTAAAATCAAGTTCGCCGACTTTTGCGATGGCGCGCGCTAAATTCGTTTAGAACTTATTCAAAATTAGATTTGACGAAGGAGATTGAGATGTCAAGAATTGTAAGGAGAAGTGTCTTCCGCGTTAAATTTATTGAAATTTATGAAGCAATTCGATGAAATATTAATTCTCACTTTACGCCACTGGTTTTGGCTTGTTAAATAATTATGGTTTAACGCCAAAAGAAATATTCTTTCATATTAAAGCGCGATGTGCCACAAATTTATATATAAGTCATATAACTTCTCGACGTCGGATTATTTCCAGTAATCCGTGCAACTCGAATTGCATTATTTATGTTAGATAACAGAGATATTTCATGCTCAAAGATATTAGAACGAATTCGGAATTATGTTGACATTCAAAACTCAGATTTTCTCGCTTTACTTTTCTCAGTTAATATTCTCGGAGTTATTATTCAATGGCGCGGTAGTGTAATTATTCAAATCCTTCCTCGTCCATTAGACTGATCGGAAATTTAGCGCAAGAACCACATCCGATCATCTACGGAATAAAATTAATTCCGCCGCCTTTGTTTCATTATTCAATTCGGGCTTACGTCCTCAGCCGGAGACAGCAATTAACATAATGAATTTCGCATCACACACACCTCATCGTTTACCTTTCACGTACTTTCGAAATCTCGGATTTTGAGCGCGGTATTAAGTGAATGGTGATTCTCGCGAGACTAACCGAATAATAGGCAACGTTAAATTAGGGCAATTGCTAGTGTCTTGCTTGCGGCGCACTTTTATTGTTTTCAATCCGCTTTGTTGAATACGCCAACAAGCAGACACAAAGATATCTTCTATTTTTGTTTGCTTCACTGACGATATCAATCTGAGCTGCATTTTCCTTCAATTTAATTAAGAATTTTACTTCATCGTAATTGTTGTTTATTGCTATCTGCGAGTTTTACTTAACTAGACAGCACTATCATTCTTTGAGCTTTTATCGCATTGGTGGACAGTTGTTTTGCTGATACAAAATGAAACGCATATGTTACGGAGGCGTTACAACGCGTTACGACGCGCGAGTGAAAATGAAGATGTTTCCGCGTGTACCAGATGCCAGGAGAATGACATACCATTGTGCCTACGCACGTCTGACTCTGACAGAAGCTCAATGATTCGTTTGCCAATCGTCGAAACTGAAGGCCGACTCGCCGTCGGCGATTGCTTTCACACATGAACATGAATCGCTTAGCCTCAGCCGAGTGAAACACATCGTTGTTCGCCACGACAGAGACCGTTTTTCGATTTTCTCGCGCTATAGCGATCGGGTTTGCGGAAGAGAGAAAATGTTTTATATTACGTGTATTAAAACACTGCGGGAAGTCTTGTGGAACTTGCGTCAAGCTTCGGCGATGTATTCCTTGAAAGTTAAAAACTGGCGAGTCAATCCGAGATTTATGAAGGTCTGCAAATAGCTATTGAAATAACTGAAAGTTTAATATCGAGAAAATGTCTGAAAATAAGCGAGATTTTTTTTTTTTTTAGAGCCAGACATGCTCTAATTTTTGATAAACATTCCTTTCGCGTTCTTCCACGGACTTGTTTGTGAATGATAAACGATAAAGTTGCTTCTTCAATTTTTGACGAAAGCAATGAAATCCTCTTTAACGCGGCTGACAATGTTCGAATACGACCGTTCTCATCCATTCTGACTTCTTAATGGTCGATGCGGTTGGCAACGGTACAATGACGATGATCGTTTGACGGAATTATGTGCATGTTAAACGTGCGCATACGGAAAGCGTTTTTGCTCGCGGTACGTCGCGTGCAGCGATAAATCATGAAGTCCTTCAAGCGGGAACGCAGACTATTTTCCCTTTGCAAGGCCGCGTTTCCCTCTCCAATAAAACTCCCAATTCGTTTTTTCGCCAGCTCACGCTCAAAATTCGCACTTATCGCGCCGTAATGCGCGAACATGAAGGATTTACGTCCATCCGCGGGGATCAGTCATCCGTGCGGTGTTTATCCGCGTTTAAACGCGGCCGTGCCGATAGCGCGGGTGGAACAGATGATTCTGCATTTATCATGATTCTCATTAACGGACGTATCGGCACGCCGAGCAATCGGGAACGATTGTATTCTCGCGAGACGGAATACCCGGCAGATAAACGTGCGTGTAGTTCCGCAACGCGTCATTAATATTCAACCAGTCCAGTTTAATAACCGAGCATAACCTTCGCCGGTATTGATTTAATTAAATATTACTGCAAGGTTATATTCGTCACGATATCGTATTGATGAGCTTATCGATGTGACTTGATTATTCGCGCTATCAATTCGAGTCCTGATTAGCGAAGAGAGCTTTGCAAATGCAGGAATACAGAGTACTTGGAAAATTGAGATATTTGTGGCATTTCGCTGTTAAATATATAATTCTTTTCTTTTTAATTGATTTGGTTTATAATTTCAACAGTCGTAGGATTCTCACAGATTTGCACGTCTGACTCGTCGATTTTCGATCAATTCGGCATTAATATAATTACTTAATATTCGATCATTAGCTCTATTGATCGCGCATTGTTAACATGCGCCTGCGAATAATCTATTAAACGTAAACACACGAGCAGTCGTTAAACTCGCTTTGATAATTTTCAATACGTGACGAGCGGCATATATATGCGACATAAATCGTATAACGGGTCCGCGTATTCATATCCACATTTGCGGTGGAAATACCTCGAATACCCACGCGGCGAACTAAATTAACAGCATGCGGCGTAATTTTAGCGTAATGCAAGTCGATAGCGCCGCGGTGCGCACCCCGCTCTAGCCTTCTCCCCCTCCCCCTCCTTCTCTCCTAGCGCTCGGAACGTCACGAAATCCCGCTTTATACTGCCATACGCGACATTTCACGTTGCCGGGACTATCGCGAGCAAGGCTGTAAATTTTGCAAACGGCTGGCAACCGGCCAGACATTTTTACTACGATACCCGACGTAAAACGCTCCGCGCCGTGTCGCGCGCCCTCACTAATACCGCCTATGCACCTACGCGCGATCGGATGCATCCGTGTCACCTGTCCGCGTCGGCGTGCCTACCACACTTTACGGCGCCCGCTGCAGCTTCTCGATCACCGCGTTCTCACGCTGCTCGAATGAATACATTTATGCCGGAATCGTGTATAATTCAGCGATGTTCCTCAAACACGTTTTCCACGCCGCTCGAAATCCAAGATTAGCTTTTATCGATGCTCTTCCTTCTTGCAAATTTCACCATACGATCCGATAAATGTTTACAAAGCTGCGATAAAATATTTCGACGAGAGGATAGAAATATTAGATGAAAATGCGAGGAGAAATTCGAGATATCCGAAGTTGATTTTTGACTCTTATCGGGGAAAACTTGTTGCGAGAAACTCGAAGATGGAATGATGAAATTTTAACGATCACCTTCGTTACTCTTCGCGATTCTCCTTTTCCCTTTTAAAGGTTTAATGTAAAGCGATAACTATGAAACACGAGCCAGCCACGGTGACGCACAGACCGACCGAGCCCGAGCTCGGCGTAACCTCGCCGATCACTCCTTCTCAGGTGCTCGATTAAATCGCGAGTTTTCTGCATCCGAGCGCGATATACCGGACGGAGGCGATCAAGTTCTCTGTCCGGCGGCGCGATGTAGCGTCAATTGTCGTGATAAAAATCGCCGCGCTAACCTAAAAATAGAAACGATGATGAACCGCAAGCGAGGGTCGTGATCGTGTCTCGCGGGTGAGAAAGCCACGAAGAGCCGCCGCAAGGAAGACAAGCGGGCGGTCCGGTGGGCCCCGGCCATGGGGGAGGCAGCATGTTCTCCGAGCTGTGCAGGGAGACCCTGCGGAAGGCAGCAGTGTGCTACAGTTCTGCTCGTGCAGGAAGTCCATCACCATCGCCACCAACGTCTCCGCCGCCATCACCCGCCAAGGAGGCAAAGACTGCTGCCAACACTGACCTGGCAAATGTCCGTGACGCCGGCCATGACGGAACGCGAGACCATCACCATCATCCAGGGACCACCGCCGCCGGAAGACGGGCGTCGCCGGCGAGCGGAAACGCCACCGGCGAGCACAAAGAGCACTCGGCCTCAGAGAGATCGGCCACGACCGATCGCCCGAACGACGCCAGGGAGTACGTTTACGTCCGGTGCGAGGCTGACATTGGTTTATTAGTTTGAGTAGCCTTCGGGGAACGAAGTCGAGCATCGACCATCCATTCCTCCGCTGGTCTCGAGTACGACAGCGCGCTGCGTCCTGAATGAATGGAAGGAACTTGCGGGTTTTTGTCCTTTTTTTTTTTTTTTTTTTTTTCTTGGTCGGAGAAAACAGTTCATTTATTGGTTTCCGTCGGAACTAGCCGTATGAATTTATGAGGTTCGACTTTCCAATGAGTTTTTATTCAACGGTTGGAACGCGCATTACAATCGTGATCTGTAATTTTTGTAATTAAACGATTTATGACGCGCAGAGAGACCTCAACTACTCTGTAATTGTGAAGTTATTACGTGTCTATCGGAATAATTAACGAAAATACGATACGAGAAAATTGCGCGCCGTTATTTTCGCGAAAAACAATAGCGTCGGATGATATTTTCGCGTCGCGATGGTCGATGCTTGTATTGAATTTATCGATCCGTTATCACGATTGACGTTGTCATTTGAGGAAATTGATCGATCACACGCATCATTCCGCGCGACGCCCAATCTAGTTCAGTCCGCCCACGCCCGTTTCATCGGATACTCGAGATTAGCCTAAATACGCCGTCGTCGAGTAAAATCAACAGCGCGGGTGTATATTGCGTTTTCGAATTAAATCTGATCCAGCGTTAGAAATGTTTCGAGGTGTAAATTCGCAGCGCGATGCAATATTCACCGCGATAAATATTTAATAGCTGATATGGAGATGGCATCGAGAATTCTATTACAGTCCGCGCTGATTGAGTCGTTTGTATCCAATCTCGCGATTATCGTGTCGCATCAACAGTTCGCGTCGCTCGGGTATGCGTTCATTCGCGGCGTGCGTTGCATTTCAGATCAATAATTCAAAAAATGATTTATACGTTAAGTAAATTATCAGTTTGTTACGAATGACAAAATAGCACTACGCGCATTCAATTCAATTCTAATTCAATTCTCGCGATGCGCCGGGTTTTACGCGCGAAGAAAGAAACGAAACCTCGACAGAACTTTCTTTTGGTGTGCAAAGAAAAACACGACGTAAGTGTAAACGTACTCCCAGAAAGCGACCGGCAATGCCCACCGACTTCAGCAAGCGATTGCCCGGATTCGAGGCGAGAGAGGGCCGACGCGGCGGCACGTGCGGCGCCGCCGAGTCCAAGGAGTCCCGATCGGTGTCCCCCGAGAAGGCAGCGCGACAGCACGAGGACAACCGTGGAGGAGGAAGCGTCGGAGGAGGCCACGAGTGCGGCAGATCGGACTCGAGACTCGGCCGATGGTCTCCAGGGTCGTCGCCCGAACCCGAGGACAACTCCTCAACTTCTGGCGACGAAGGTACCCTCCCCTTGTTGCTCGCATGCACGCGCGGCGTCCCAGCACTTTGTCCGCGCTGAATTTTTCACGGCTGCGACTCCGCCAGATCCATCGACCCATCCCGTTAGGATCGAAGGACACACTCGCGTGTGTCGTGTACATCAGCGCGTACGGTCGTGCCAGTTTGTGGCTAAAAATACCACGAGTTTACTAACCAACTTATCGTAATGATACAATTTCTCTCGGTTAATTCGAAAGTGGCGCTTCGTAAAAAATACAAGAGCTTGATAGTGTTTGGGAGTTAATGGAAAAGAGCTACTCATGATGGGCCGCTATGATGTAGCTTTTAAGGATGTATGAAAATACGCACGTTGCAAAACACGTTTTTAATGCGGAGAAAGGCAAATTGTCAACATTAGTTTGAATCGAAACTAAATTAAAGTTAGAATTACACTATTGGGTTACGTAATAAGTGAATTTGAATTTTTAAAAACTGTCTACTATTTTGTCGAGCGAAACGCAGTTTGATTAACACGTAAATTAAATATTTGTTTGTTGAAATTGTAATCAAATTGTAACCCGCCCGTACAATTTTTTCACGTTGTGTAAAAACGTGCTGCGCAAAAAATGTGGAACACTTATTGGAAAATATGAAATTATTACACAACCCAATATATTTTATTCTTGTGCTTTTTATTGAAATTGAAGTCAACGATTGCTTATTTAAAATTCACGTCTTATATTCACGTTTTAACTTTGAATACGAAGACGTAAAATTTTCTCGTTCTTGATCTCGGACAGATTTTTGGGTGTATCTCGAGAAATTACACAGAAACAATATCTTCTTGAAATGTGGATATTTTTGGAATCGACAGCAAAGTGGCAATAAAGATTCTTCGCTATCGTGTATCAAAATGTTGGATCGTAATCCTCTGCGAGTGCTCGGCGCGGAATAGTGGAAGTTCAATGGGATTTCCACGTTCGAGAAGTACTTCCAAGACTTGCAGGAGTTGTTGATTGTGGCTCTTTGAGGAATCGAGTTCACGAAGTGGCAGAGAGCATCTCGATGACAGTGGTGGAATTGGGATACCTTGCAATTAGGTAGCTCGGTCGAGAGCGAAGATGGTCGCGTAGCATCAGAGAAAGCGTTAATAGCCACGTTTAATCTATTCGCGTGCTGCCGCTTTATTTACACGTCACAATTATATGTGTTATTTAGTCCGAAAATTATATATGAGTATAACACGCAATCGATTTCATACCGTATTGAATTTCACGCACAATATCAGACCTGATGAATTTTCTTATAATTGCTGAATAAAAAGGTAACTTGTATGTCGATAAAAAAATTTATTCACTTTTATTATGTATATGTTACTGTAAATGTGAATAATTGGTTATTGTGCACAATTGCCAAATTAATCAAGTTTACAGTAACATATATATGGCAACTTGAGGAATTGACAACTTGACGAAAATTTAGATCACGCTTGACATCTTTTTTTAAGTACTTGGAGAAAAAATTGATTATAGGTTGTATTATATTTGATGGTATCGCTGTTTTACAAAAAATTCCGATGCTAAAGATCAACCGAAAAATATTTCTGCGCTCAGTCATGTACTTATACAGCTGTATCTCACATACGGAAAGTGAACCTCGAGAGGAGAAAAATCCTAGAAATCTTTTTGATGATGATCCCAGCTATTCACGTTTCATGCGAATTTCTATGCGCGATGCATTCGACCCGTTTGCCTCGCAACCACGTAACGTTTCGACGTTTTGCAGAAAAGGAAATGCAACTTTAAAGAAATAACAACTGTAGAACGCAACTGTGTTGCTTTACTTCTAGGTAAACAATCGACGATCGATAGGATTTTTTTTCTCGACCTTTTTGTCCATTGTGTCCTGAATCTGATCGCGCGTCTGTACTCGACATAAGTACTTTCTCTTTTTCTTAGGTATTTTTATATCCTCTTATTTATTTTCTTTTGTAAATGCAACGCATTCACTGTTGCATTAATTTATCGCATCAGTTTTCAGCGGCAGATTTCTAACAAATTTGAGCCAATTTTTTTATGAAAGTTGAGAATTTTATTTAAATACTTTGAATTAACTTTATAATTATTGAATCGTTTTATAGAAAAATTTTAAATGAAAAAGTTTGAATAGAAAGGTCAAACATTTATGCAATATTTATAGAATTTTAACATTTATTCAATCTTTTTACTTTTATCGAATATTTTTATCATATTACAATATAGAAATAATTCTCCACACTGCAGAATTAAATGTTATCGAGTTTTTAACACACAGATAGGAACATGGACGTATATATAAGCTGCTAATATCTTCATCACAGGCGATCAGTCTCAGATCGCCGATAAGAGGCAATATTTTAACTATATTTCTAGCGATACTCGAATCGCTGAGTTGGCAACCTAACGTGGCATCTTTTCTCGCATCGCGATTGGGATTTCGCTTCTTTTTCAAGATTTTCGCGACTGCATCGACTGCACTCGAGGCCTAGAAGTGCCGAAGCTATCTCGCAATGTGCCAACTCGCGACGCTCGAGGACACTTCTCGAGTTTGCTTGCGATATCAAGTTTCTTTCTACATACGATCTCTATCCTCGGAACATATTTCCTCGATATATAAGATGCACTTTAGGTTTACCTGTCGTATTATCAATCACAGATCTTTGGGAATGTTAATGTTTCAATATTAAATTTCTAGATAATGAAAGTTTAAATTAAATTCGTATTAAGATAAAGTTATTATACACCGCGGTGAAATTAGTAAATAATACATTTTCCGAAAAAAAAACACAATTCAATTATGTAAATTGTTTTCTTAAATAACGTTTTTCGATGCAAATAAAATTTTTAATGTTATTTTTTCTGCTTTTTTCAGGTGAGTATTCGACAAAGGTGGAAGCTTCTTATCATTTTTCTTCAGCGTCAGGTATTTGAATAGAAAAATTAATTAAATCCTAATTTGCAACTTGATATTTATGACATTCAAGTAGCTAAAAAACAGCGCCGCAATTTTATCTGAAAATCCAACTGTTTAATCTCTGAGAAAAGAAATTTTCTCTTAACCGCTATTGTATTCAGAGATTTCCGCTTTTTATACTGTTTTTATCATCCGGTGCTGTTTCAACTTGAAAGAGCTCATGATGCGGGATTCGCAAACTAAGTAAACATGCTATCGCTGTTGTTCCGGCTATAAGAAGGGGCAATTAATTTCAAGAACTTAATTCCAACGAGGGCGTCATTCGATGCAGCCTTGGCGTTCCATCCATTTCTCTCACTGGCACTTTTTTTTATCGCATTACTTTGCCGACACAAAAGACTTTGCTCGTTGTTCGGAAAATGTACTTTAAAACTCTCTCGCGAAGTTGGACCATTTCCTTGAATGTGCGCCCTCCGGCAAAGAAAATATCGCATCGGTAACTTCAATCAAGATTCGTCGGTGTTTTTCCCAACATCGAACACGAGCCGAAGTTCCGAGGCTATCAATCAACCTCACGCTGCGTGATACTGCTGCTTGTGTTTCGCATAAACGTCGCGTTGAAGTTTCGGCAGCGAGTTGCTTCTCGCTCATTAATTTGACGTCCGCTCATGCAGGCAACCGTGAATGAACATCGTTATAAATTATAATGATTATTGCTGCCTGAACTTTGCTAATATAATTTGAAACGCTAAATTATCGATTACATAGTTCGTTTGCCCGCGCGCTAATTTTTGAATACCACGAATTCTGCCTTCGAGTGAATATCTTCAATTTTGAGAATTTCGAAATTTTGTAAATTCTGCAATATCTACTGTAATTTTTTGCTGCCATTCAAGCTTGCAAATTGTATATTTCGAGAGACGTTTAGTCACTGTTTCAAGGCTGACGAGAGATACTTAATTAGTTGTGCATCTGCAACCACGAAGTTTGTTCCGCTCTGACGTTCTCTTACAGGTTGATCCTCGGTGTGTTCCAGGATATCGTTGCGAGAAGATATATTTCACTAATAGCTCGCTTTCCTAGTTGGCCGGTAGTGTACGAATATCCAGAACGCGGTAAAGCGTATCCAGTTCCTAGATCTTTCGAGTTTCCGGCAAAACTTGGACTTTCGGCATGCCTCCGCATATTTATTAAGCTGCAGCTATTTACTTCCACGCTTTAGAGGAAAAATAAATTTATATGACTCCTTTTGCATCTTTGACGGCGAAACGTGAAATATTTCATGCGAGAGAATTTATTAAACTTTGCGTACTGTTGTGTCAACGAGACATTTAATTCTGCGCAGGTCGGAAAAAGACGAGGAATTATATAACACGCCTGTCTCGTATTCGCCTCTTTCCGATTGTCGCAATCGCTATCCGTTATTCCAACAGTCTAATTTTACTTATCGGATGTATTTCGAGGAATATAACGGGAGCCAAAGTTTCAATTAATAGTCACATTGAGGTACATTAAACGACATTGAGATTTCAGTGCGAACCAGCCTCTAATTTCATCAAGTTTACAACTCTCGCTTACAGCTAAGTTTTCCTAGCTGTCAACGTCGCGTGTTTCAAGCATAGTTGCGCTTCGAGATGGCTGCGAGACCACCCGTCGTTGTTTTAATTAAATCCGGGAAGTATCGAAGAATTCCCAGTCGACAAAGTTGGCGGTGACGTTCGCGTCACTCGTTTCGTCGATATATGTTGTCCGGATTATTTCGCCGGGATAACATCGACAGAGGGACTTTTGTCGATGCGCTGGCCTACGGGATGCGCCCGGAAGCGAAAGCGAAAGTCTTCCGCCCGGAAAGTCATCGGTTCAACCACCGGCTTAATTTTCAAGCTGTCGTGCCCTTTTGGATACTTGCCTCGTAAGTTTCTGCGAGATCGCGTGTGATACTTGAACGTGGACTAACAATGAATCTTCGAGACGGAAATTCGACGACGCTTCCTCCGGCCATAAAATATACGGCTACTATAAACTTCAACGTAACATTCTCCGAAGCAAAAGAAAAAAAATAACGCGTCGAATTGTTGAAGTAATTTTGATTTAAACGTTCAAAAGGGTATTCTTCTTTTTGCGCGTGTTAAGCGTTAAGCGATAGACTGCCGCGAAGAATGTTCGTGGCAAATTTAACGCGATGCACAATGTAGCGTCTCCGTTTGCCATAAATCATCCGAGGCGGAGCGGGTCTCTCGTTGTATAACCGGAAACGGCGATCGGTTATCTCACAGCTGGATGCGGTTCCGTTTCGCACGATCCTCGGTCGCAATAATTACGCTTACGCCGACGTTAACGGGCGATTAATTATTTTCCGCGTAGTTTCGCGAGCTACATGCGATCGGCGAACTCTTCCGCCAGCCGGCCAACTTGTCGAGCAATTAATTACGAGCTATCGCTTACGACTCCCGTGTGACGTACGAGGTAAAAATGCGCGACGTTACGACAGCCGTTTTGAATCGCCGGCCTGCCGGATTCTCGCAGTCCCCCACCTTGTTATAGTCGTTAAAAGCTACTCCTCGTTAACGAGTTTCTTGCGCGCGCCCCCGATAAATCGTCCAATTTAGGACGACGGCCCGCAAACTTACATCCGAGCTGTAAATTCACGTTTATTCTGCTCCAGCGATAAAGCCAGGGGGCTTTCTCCGCCTCCATGGAGGGATCGTTAGTCTGTTGCGTGGAATTTCGTCCATTTCGGGAAACAGCTGAGCGTTCGCGGAGCTGACCGAGCCGCGGCAATGTGCCGAGAGGAATAAAAATTTTAATCACCTTTCGCAACATTCTACTTTTAGTTGCAACATTCCATTATCCGAGACCGTTAGTTTTCAAACATCCTCGCGAAGTGATTCGGCTGCAAATTGGTTATATCTGAAAATTTTTTGCATGAGAAAAATATCACACTTTCCGGCACTTAAAGAAATCAAATGGAGAAATTGTTGTCAAGTCTTCAGCAGTGTTGCCAAAAGCTCCGGCTGAATATATTGGCAACTTGACAGCGACGTATAATAACAACGCCATAAATTAGTGCCGGCTGCAGATTCCCCGCCCGCTTTAATTCCACCCTTTTTTGCCCGGCCTCTCGGAAGGACGGGAAATGCATCCTAGTCTTATCTAGCGTTACGACCGCAATTACTACGTGAAAGGCGGGAGAAACGCACACAGCGTTCACCCTTTATTCTCAGGACCTTCAGATGACCCAGAAACATCCTGCTTGCATCTTAGGCGCTATTGGCTCAAGAATAGTAATTATTCCATCGCGACAAAAGTAGTAACGCTTGTTTCCTCAATTACAAAACGGATCACTTAAAGTGCGATTCTCATTTTGCAAATGATAGAATATAGAAAAGACTGAGTAGAACTGAAACGCAAAATGTCAGGCCGACAAAGACGTAATGTTTTCTTTTTGCTTCGATGATTCAACGGAATAATCATTCTATGAAAAATGTCATCTTAATGTCGCACGCAGATTAGATTGCGACGGTCGATAAGAGCGCGACGTTAATTATCATTTCTGAGGAGGGACAGAAATGATTGAATTGTTTTCTCGTTGAATATCGATGATCCGCGTGAAGCGTGGGAGATTTTCTTGATGAAAAACGAGTGGAATGCGTTGGCGAGCGAGCGTCGATCATTAATCAGATGGTGCGGACAGCAGGCGGCATGGTGAACGGAACGGTTGGAAATGCTTGGCGTACCGCACTCGTCGTATTCGAGACTCGATCTCAAATGCTAATGACCCGACAAATTTTCCGATTGTTCGCCGGCAGCCAGTAGATCTTCCGTTCGCGTGATAAACGAGCTCGATCGCAACGGATCGCGGCCTGATGCGAAAAAGTCAGCGAAGTGTTCCTTCATTCTTTTCCATTGGTAGCCGTTGTGGTCTGAAGAACGGCAAAAATAGATTTCCCACGCCTTCGTGACGAGTGTAGAACGGATCCTCTCGCTGGTAGCGCTTTTTGCAATGGATATGAACATTGAATAAAACAATAGTCCGGGAAAATCTATCTTGTTATACGCAATGGTGGAATAGCTTTGCGCGTCACTCACAATTAGGATAACAACGCTTCGAATAATATTTTTCTTCAATGACGCGAAATATTTCGCGTGATCAAATAATAGGAATATTTTTAGCGCATTTATTTGGACAGAATATTTTATTTTTAAACGGACTTTTATCGCTCTCTTTTGCACGCTATCAAGTTCTATTGCTTTTCCAACGCTGTCAAGGTTATCAGAAAGTAACTTTATTTCAGGCATGACTGGATAACTATATGATTAGCTATCTTTTTTCGTGCAAATGCACACCGTCGCTAATGCATCGGTTCAAGGAAATCAGAGCTGCTAACTTTTTATCGCTTTCTTAATTGAGTGACCTAATTTACGTCCCCGCCTTGTTCCGACCTTCCTGCCTGCGCGATATTGCCGGGAGAACGAAGGAACCTTTTGCGGCAACGACTTGCCAATTGAAATCCGCAACAAAAGAAGACAAAATGAGACTTTCCCACTGAGAAAGCAGTAAAGAAGACGAGAAGACATTTTTGTGGTCAGAATGCGACTCAGAACATTCTTTTCTTTCCTCAAGATTTGTTGGAAGATAGAGATACCGCAGCCATTATCTTCTTTAGCCAAACTACCGCATCAAACGGGGCTTGACAGGGTAATCAGACATCTAGTGCGAAAGAGACATATGCGATATTGCAGACAGTCTGTTTCAATGAAAGAGAAATAGAAACTAAAAATAAGTATAAGTTATAAGAATACGTGAAAGGAAGAGAAAATCTTTTACCAAAAAATTGATAAAATCTCTGTTAATTAAAAAGTTTGCATTTTTTTGTATAGAATACAATCTGTTTCGTAGAATATTTTTGAACAACAAATATTTTTGAATTTGTTTAGTCATTCATTTATTAAAAAACGATAAATATAAAATGTTTTTATATTAAAAATTGTTTATTATAAATTTGTAC